GAGAGGGGGTGGAGGCCCCATCCCTGGAAGCATTCAAGGCCAGGTTGGATGGGGCTGTGAGCAACCTGATCTAGTTAGCGGTGTCCCTGCTCCTGCAGGGGGGTTGGACTAGATGACCTCTAGGGGTCCCTTCCAACCCAAAACATTCTATGATTCTATGAAATGTTTGTTGAACTAGAGGCAGCAAAAAGGTGGCCGGGGGGGGGACAGCGCGTGGTCGCTGACGGGGTCCCCAGCTGCCTGCCGAAAACAGAGTCCGAAAGACGCGGTCTTGTGGGAGACGTGCAGAGGCCAGCGATTCCCGTGGCTGAAACACTGCTGCCCCAGCCCAGGCTGCATCCCTTACGCTAATGCCTGTTATCAGCCACCCGGGGGGGTGCACATTCTTGCCCAGCCCCCAGAACCATGGCATCAGTTGAGACGGGAGCGCTTGCCAAGCAGGGGAAATGGCATTTCGATAAAACAGAGTCAGAGCTGGCTTTTGGGGTTGTTTGGGGTTTGTTTTTTTTCTAGAAATAGCCAGGCCCCACTCAGGTGGGTGCAGCTCTGCAGAGGCTTCTCTGCTACGAGCAGGGTGAAGCCTTCTCACGTCATGGATTTGACAAGTGACCCAGGGGTAAAAAAAAAAAAAGCCAAAAAGACAGATCCCTCTGGAGTGCTGCAGAACCAGCAGGGATCTGCGAAGGCTGGGGGCTGTTTCTCATCACTTTCCAAGAAGCCGCCACATGTGTCCCAGCTGTTGGCAAAAAGCTCTTTCCATCCCTTCCTTAAATCCGGGACAACAGCAGACAAAATGTTTCTCCCAATCTCTCTCTGCTGGTTGCACAGTCACTCCTCCGGGTCTGGACCATGGGTTCCCCAGCTCCAGGTTATGGCCACAGATCCCGCATTTGGCAAACACTTGCGTTGGGTTTATAAACGTAACGCAGCAAACAGTGCACAATTCATTTTGCCTACGTTGGGAGACTTGAGTTGATTCACCCAGAATGCAAAACCTATCGCTCCGCTGAGACTGGGTACCCAAAACCTGAGACCCACGCGAGTAACCACCCCCTCGCTGGCTAGGGTGGAATAATATATAAGTGAGACCGGGTGCAGACACAAAAATATTTAATATGTTGTTCTGCGTTTGGTGAATGAAGCCATCAGATCCAGACAAAGAAAAGAGGAGGAAAAAAATGTAAAAAAAAAAAAAAAAAGCCAAGGGTTCAGATTTTCCTTAAATGTGGCTTTCAACTTCTATTTGTTTCAAAATGAACCAATCCAAAGCGGGGGGGGAAGGGGGGAAGGATGCAATTCTTCGAAGCAGACCCTGGAAACACTACCCAGAGCGAGGAATCGAGCGGCATGTGGATTCCCTTCAGAAGTTCACAGCGCTGTGATCCGCTCCAGCTCCCCACCCCACATCTGTCAAGGGGTAAGCCCCTCGCTGTTCCTATGAGCGGACCAAGAACAGTCGGGCAAACGACACGCTGCCCTGTTCCGTCCTGAGCCATCCCGAGAAGGAGCGCGAGCCTTGGGAACAGCTAAACAAGCTCCCTGTCACTCCCGCAGCCAGCCCAACTTTTAGGAATAACGCATAAACCCAAGGGTCCCGGCTCCAAGGGCCACGGAGATCAGCAGAGGCAGGAGGGGAAGGGTAAAAATAAGCCCATCCAGTTCGTTATCGCCTTGTTCAAAACATCTGGTTTCTTCTTCTGTATTGTTCCTACGATGGATGGCAGGCACAAACCAGGCATCAGATCTGATGGCTCTCCCTGCGTGGCATTCAGCTGGAGCCTGCCGCCTTTTCAGCTGACCTCCTGCCAGCAGCTGCTCTTGGCCCAATTTGCCCCCCCCCGCCCCGGGCTACAACACGCCCCCCTAAGTCCCATGCTGCTTAAACAAACCATCCCCCAGGATCCCAGCCACGCAAATATCCCAGACCGGGGTTTCACCCTTCGGCATCGCAACAGATGCAGGGTGGTAGAAAAACAAAAAAAGAAAAAAAAAAAAAAAAATCATGATTTACAGCTCGTGATTTCTAAGCCACAAAGTCCTCGCAGTTCAGCTCACTCTTCTGAACAATTATTCCTACCGCAAAATAAGCCCTGTGCCTTCTCACCGACTTCAACCATCCTGCACAACGCTTCTCAGGTGTTTGGCTTCCACTCACGTTCATCGGGTTCTCTCAGGTTAGATCAGGTTTTGCATTCTGACATTCATAGACTGGAATTTAGCACCAAGCCATGCATTGATTGCACCCGTCACAACGGCGAGCATCCAGAAAACAAAAAAAGTGAACATCCGCTTTAATTAAAAAGCCTAAACCAAAACAAAATTCGAGCCCGCTGCAGTGCCGGTTCTAGGCTGTACTGCAGGAGGCTGAGCAGGACCGGGAAGATACCAGCCAGAAATCAGGTCAGTGAGCTTGGAAAGGCCGATTCTGAAGCCCTAAGTTTTGAGAACCTCTTTAATTTATCCGGCACCGAACGGGCGCTTTTCAACTCTCCCAATACAAACACCAGTCTATACAAAATTTACCTTTTAGATTTCATTTGCTCTCGCAGTTTGCTGTACATCTCCAGGACTGGAAAGAGAAGGAAAACACAAGAGGCATTGAGACACAAGCACAAAGCAAAGAGAGACGAATTAAAATAAACAGCTGTACAAATAAAGAGCAATTTCAGTTTCCTCACCAGGAAGACACAGCGTTAGCTTATCAACCGTCGCTGAAATATTCCTCTGTTGCAGTCGGCATTGCTTCAGCTCTTCCATTGCTATTATCAACTTTGGAAAGGGGAAAAAAAAAAAAGAAAAAAAAAAAAACAAAAACAAGTTTCCCTTAGAAGAGCGAACAGAGTAGAGAGGATATAAACTGCTTTGCACTTGTCGCGACCACCCCAAGCGTAGGTTGACACCAAAGCCTACCCTGATAACGGGAGAGCTCACGAGCACTGCGGAGCGCTGCTGGAACAGGGAGGACAGGCAGCTCCGGGTTGTTTCATCCAGCAGCAGCAGCGTTCCCTAGCCTAATTCCAAGTAAGCAAGCAGCAAAACCAAAGCCATCAAAATACCAGCCTTGTAGCACGTCCTGTGAATTCCAAAAATTATTTCCCCTTCCTATTTTATTCATCTCTTCCCTGCTCCCTCTCCAAGCTTCTCTTTTCTAGTTCTTCCCAAAGACAGGATGTGGCCGCTCGCTCCCAGGGGGATTCTTACCATCACAAACTAACAGGGATTTTTAAATGCTCAGTCCCCAACAGAAAAACCTGTGCATCTGGACCAGGGCAGAACAAGGATTGGCCACCGCATACAAAGGAAAACTCTTTAGTTTCTTTTTTCCAAAGGGGCAGGTCATGGATTTGTCCTCCAGAGTACCAACTTATCTCCAAGATTGCAAAATCCCTTCGAAATCCTAGGCTCTTCTGCTCCTGGAGGTGAATCCTCCGCTCCAGGTAACACCGACATATGTTTATTTGATTCAGGAGAGAAGCTGCATCATCATCTCCCCACAGGGCATTTTTATCTTTGATCTTCATTAGAATAATTGGTCTGATGCAGTCCAGTGTGAGGATTTTCTTGTTTGCTTTTCAAATGCAACACAGCTGGCTGAAATAGTAATGCCTGCACGTACTCTGAGCAAAATGGTGGCTGGGTGGCTGGGAAGGGCAGTTAAGAAAGAAAATAGAAAAGTTGCAAAGAGTAGATTTATATGGAATATGGGTACAGCAATGCAATTCGTCAGGAGGAAAGAAAAAGAGGCTACAAAGAAGACAGAGACTCCCTTTTCACAAGGAGTGACATGGAAAAGACGAGGGGTAATGGGTACAAGTTAATCCTGAGAAGATTCCAATTGGACATGAGAGGGAAATTTTTCACCATGAGAACAGTCAACCATTGGAATAATCTCCCCAGGGATGGGGTTGACTCCATCACACTGGACACCTTCAAGACTCAGCTGGACAGGGTGCTGAGAGGTTGGACCAGATGAGCCTTGAGGTCCCTTACAACCTGGAATTCTATGATTCTATGACTGAAAAAGAGGGGAGAAGGACCATCCCTGGGAGTTCTGACACATCTCCATCTTAGGCACCTGAATAACATCATGCATCCTCAGCTCTGAAGTCCCCCAGCCTGTTAATGTGCCCTGATGATGAAGGGGCAGAAGAATGAACGTGGTCGGAGGCTCATCACATGCAAGACATGCTCAATCACTGCCTTTTCTCTGTGCCTCAATGTCTCTACCCATGCACCTTAAAACCCACCCTGACTTGAATTGCTGCTGTACTGCACTGTGAAGCAAGAGCCAGACTCTCCAGCTCATATTCACAGAATCACGAAATGGTTTGGGTTGGAAAAGACCTTCAAAGGTCTCCCAGCCCAACCCCCCTGCAATAAGCAGGGACATCCTCAGCCAGATCAGGTTGCTCACAGCCCCGTCCAACCTGGCCTGGAATGTTCCCAGGGATGAGGCATCCACAACTTATCTGGGCAACCTGGTCCACTCTCTCACCACCCCCATCATAAAAAATGTCCAGCCTAAATCTTCCCCACTTTCAGTTTAAAGCCATCCCCCCTTGTCCTGTCCCAGCTGGCCCTACTAAAAAGCTTGTCCCCCCCTTTCCTCTGGGCCCCCTTGAAGCCCTGACCGGCCGCACTCAGCTCTGCCCGCAGCCTTCTCTTCTCCAGGCTGAACCCCCCCAACTCTCCCAGCCTGGCCCCAGAGCAGAGGGGCTCCAGCCCTCGGAGCATTTTAGTAGCCCTCCTCTGGCCCCGCTCCAACAGGTCCATGTCCTCCTTGTGCTGAGGGCTCCCGAGCTGGACGCAGGGCTCCAGGGGAGGTCTCCCCAGAGCAGAGCAGAGGGGCAGAATCCCCTCCCTCGATGCTGGCCACACTTCTCCTGATGCAGCCCAGGGTAGGGTTGGCTTCTGGGCTGCCAGTGCACATTGCTGGCTCATGCCCAGCTTTTCATCCACCAGCACCCCCAAGTCCCTCTGGGCAGGGCTCATCCACATGTAAATCAGGGCAACATTTTTCACAAAAAAGAAATTGTACATCAACACCATCACTTTTCACACCATCTTCTCCTGCATGGCATGCAACTGTTCCTTAGCTGATTTAATAGCCATTGCCATTCTGGAATGCCAACAGCCAGACAGTGAACACCAAGGATTTTCTTCCCTGCTGCTAGAGAGAAGTAAAAGGCAACGGGAGTTAATACCGTTGCATGGCAGCCTCGAAACGCTGCGGTCCTAACGCATCAAATTTTGTAGCAGATGCTCACGTGGGTTCTCATCTTAAAAGTCATTTTACCCGAGTGGTAGACGAATTAAACTTCCCCTCCCCAACACCAACCAGATCACAATTAGCTTCTAACTCCTTAATATCACAGCAAAAAAAAGAACTCTTCAACAGGGGCTTTACCTAAAAAGTTCAAAAACTTTCTGGTAGATCTTCAGCTGCTTCTCCCTCCTCCCGGCTGGTATAAAAACATATTTTTATACACCTAGCATATACCTGGTATAAAAGAGGTATGTATTGTCTTTACTAAACCTTTCTGTAAGTAATAAATACTTTCTGTATAATCCTATCAAGCTGGGGCTCACAGTTCAAACATTTCCCACTTCGCAAATGTGTAGGTTCCCTGGACTAGCAAGACCACAGCAGTTCAGACCTTCAGGGCTCTAGGCACCAGTTTGACTCCGTGAAGAGACACATGAGAACAAAGCTGGATTTTAGACTCATGGGGATAGAAAATAAGCACCTTATACGTTATTTAGGCAACAAGTAGAAAGATGACTTTGGGAATTCTCCTGAACACCCGTTCAAGTTCCGACAGGAGAAGGTTTGTAAGCAGAGATACCATCTTTTCCAGACCAGCTGGGAGAACTGCAAAAAATTCAACAAACTTTCAAGTAAACACGCCCAGCTTCAGGTCTTCAGCAAAAGCAGCCAATACTAAAGAGAAATACCAGCAGAGAAGGGCTGCCCAGAGTTCAGGTGCCTCACGTCAGTCTGAGACCAACATGCCATAAAACTACTTTTTTTTTCCCCATTGAATGCTCTTTTCACAGCAACTCAAGTTGTAAACATTCAACTCTTCTCCGTGGTGCCCAGCACCAGGACAAGGGGC